AATCCCATTTTTCTCCAGAATGCAGTAGTGCCAGTAGAGAACAATTCTAATAATGAAAAACTAAAAAGATATAAGAATACTAAGTGTAATGTTTGAAAAATAATTCTTTTATTCACTTGTTCTGTAACTTTTGTGTAAACCCTTCAGATTATATACGATTCTCTGACTGGTTTACTGAACCCAGCTGCACCAAAAATTACCATCTATCTATATACTACTAAAACTCTCATTGTGTTTTATCTGTTTGTCCCCTCAAGTTAGCCCAAACAGTGCATTATACTGCAGCAATTTTTGAATCAAGGTAAAATCCGCTAACTTAAACAATGCGTAAAAACTCCAGGACCCATTATTCCTGTGGAACTGAAATTTCCACAATATTCAGACCTGTTTTATTCACAAAGTTGTGGCCGTTGCCGCGTCCCTGTGGTCATGTGATCATAATTTCCAACACTCCTTGCCAGCTTCCCACAAGCAAAGTCAATGGAGAAGCTGGCAGGAAGTCAGAAGTCGTTCCAGCTCCCACTGCTTTTTTGCCTGCCCATGTCATTCTATTTATCTGTTTAGGTAAGTAAATATTGAATTATTGAAGTTTGTTTGCCACTAGAATGATTTTTCTATTTATGATATATACACTTCTTAGATGCTCATGGGACCATCCAAGCATTGAGGTAAAAAAAAAAAAACATGGTCAGCCTAAAATTTAATGTTCATTCTGGTCACATCAGACTATACTACCTTTTTCTCAAAGGATGACCCAACAGGTCACAGGGTTGTCTAGTTTGTTATAAAGCTGAACAAAAAATGAATGGGATGGAGATTCCTAAAGGAAGGCACAGCTGACTGCAACAGTGAACGTAAGTACTTCAGCCTGCATCTTTTTGTTGCTACCACCATTTCTAAGTGTTCTGAATGCTGAAATACCTTACCAAAGATTCCAGGAAAGTGGAAAACAATCGAAAAACCATGTATAGGCTGTAATAATCAGACTCTAAATTAACTTTTCCCCCTAATTAGAATAGGAACTCTGTTGGATGTTTATTAGAACTATGCTTAGGGGATAATTATGACATTTACAACATTTCAAATAATTTTAATGCAACAGTCATTACATAAGTAATTTTAATGGCAACATTATAATATAATCTATATATTAGCAGTTACTTACAAATGAAAATAAATGCGATTTACCTATTGACTGTCTTTGGCTCCTTTTATAAGATACTTTCAAAATATATCAAATTTAGAATTCCAAAATGAATCCATTGAAAATTGACTGGTTTTCTGGTGAAATTCATAAGCCACTTTACTAGTAAAGCAAAAATACAATTCTAGCAAACAGAAAAATGAGAATGTATCTTAGGCTATGTGTATCTTAAAGACAACATTTACTGTATCACCCCCTCCCCCCCTTGTAAGTTTACAGGCAATAATGGCATAGTTACAACAGCTTAGCAAGTATGGTTCAACTTGAAAATCGCTTTTATTATTTTACTTATTTTAGGGAGAGACAGGAGAAAAATGTGGCTGTTTCAATGACACATTGTAATAGTGAGAAACAATATTACATAATGGTCTTAAAACTTCTCTCTTAACTTTGAGAGTAATTGATGCCATCCATGTATTAAAGAATAGGCCGAAGAACTCAAAGAAAAAGGCACAGAGCAAGTGCTACTGTTTCTGAAACAAGTAATACATTAATTCTGGGAGTAGCAAATCCCAAACAGATATTTGCCAGCTTTTCAGAAGTGTCTTTTTAAAAATGTTCTACTAATCCACAATACCTTGTCACTACTGTGGATCTTTCAATTTGTTGCAGATCTCTTAAACATCTGGATGATTGTCCTTTGTTTGATTGGCAGCAATTCTACATCCTTTAAATCAGAGTTGTTGAGGACACAATTCAGAACATTCCCACTTTTTACAGATGATTTTGTCTGGTGTTTACTAGAAGTCTTCCCATTCTCACTGTGGGAACGTCTGTGTAGTTTGGGTTGATTTATTTCAGTCTGGCTGTTTGAAGCCTTTGAAAGTTTGCAGTGTTTCCTAACAGCTGGGGATTTTCTAACTGACTGAGATGTTGTAGGGCGCAATTGATACTCATCAGGGGAGCCTTTTTTGCGATTTAGTGTTTTCTGTTCTCTGTCCATTTCCTTCTGAATTCTCAAAGCCAGACGCCTGTCTTCTTCTTCCTGTTTATATCGTTCATAAAGCTGCTGCTCCAAATATATCTGCTTTTGTATATCATTCATCTCTTCCTCTTCTGTTTGTACAAAAGTTCTTCTTCTTTTGTCATTCAAATATGAATCCATGGCTGATTCAGTGGGAGATTCTTGAGATTTTCTCTTTGGGATCTCTTTAGTGATCAGAGAGCAACTCTGTTTTTTATTTCCAATTGGATAGTTTCCCATCACCTTTGTTTCTTCGCAGATTGTATCTTTGCCCTCCTGTTGGCTACTAGATGTCAAAGAAATAAGGATTTCTTCAGTGTTGTTATTTTTCTGGAGTTTCAGCAAGCATGTGCTTTCTGTAAAATTTCCATTTCTAAAATCATTATTATCAGATGCACTGCTTTTTGAGAAAAAATACTCAGTTTCACAGTCCTCCCTATGGGTAACATGTTCACCTGTTGGTTCATTTAACTGATTCCTGGAAAAAGACAACAATTCCAGCCCATGACAGTTGGACTCAGATATAGTACATATATTTAAATGAGGATCAGATGACTCTAAAGGGGAATCTTTAGTCATTTTTCCCTCTCTAATTGTCTCTGAAGATAGTATGGTCATATCTTTTCCTGTTTCTTCATCTTCTAATGTAAAGTTAGTTTTAGTTCTGATGCTTTCCTGGAAAAAAAAAAAGTCAAATTCCAGTATGCACCTTTTTTGATATAGAAAAAAATTAGATTTTTTGATGACTCTATGGATCATGAAACATTGGAACATTAAAAATTTGATGATACAACTTCACAACCTGACTTCAAGGTAAAAGATTCAGAGATTTAGAAGTTTACTATAATCAGACATACATATTCCACAGTATTATACAGAAATTCCAGTATATACACATACCCCAGAAAGAGAGTCAATGTTTTCTTTTAATTTTCCAAATAGCAAATTTGGAGGCAAGACACCACACGACTTTGGAGAGAAATACCTTAACAAAAACAAAAAACAAAGGTAAAGGAAGGTTTTTATAGCTTGTGAAGAATAAGCTTTACACTAGATTTATATTTAAATATAACCTAGCATAGCTCTTACTTTATTTTCCAGAAGAGTGTATGTAATAAAATACTGCAAGACTCAGCTTCTTTTACCTTGGGCTAGTGCTGAATTTCTGTATATGCATTTTGGAACTCTGATTTGTTCCTGCTCTGCTCTCAAAAAAGGTATCAAGACACATTTGTTAAATTTAGACTTATTTTTCAGTTATGTATTTTTATTTCTATAATTGTTTAAATATGATTTTGATTTGTATTTTTTATTGTTAGCTGTTTGAGTATCATTCTTGGGTGGAAGGTTAAGATAAAAATCAAACAAATATGACAAAAGGAATAAAGATGTTTCCAAAGTGAGTTCAAGGTGCTGATGTTTAAAGCCCTAGAGCTCATTATGGATTGGAGTAGGGCTACATCTCTTAAATAAATGAGACCTTGGTATCCTAAGGATCATCTTATTCTATACACTCTGCCTCTTGTCTTTCAGTAGCACTAGTTCAGATCCTCATCAAGCAAAGCATATAGTTGCAATATTTATAGACAGGTTCTAGCATAATACCGTTTCACAGTTTATAAAAGCTCAACTGTTTAATTATTATTCATTTAATTTATATCCTGTTTTTCTCCTATGGCAGCTAAGAAAAAAAGGGACAAAATCTGATAAAAACATTTGAAATCAATTAACTAATTCAAATAGAAAAGTCCTGAGTAAAGAGGACGCTCTTGACTCCTTTCTTATTAGCAGAAAGAGTGATGGCTTAGTACAAATCACAAAGAAGTGCATTTCAATCTGTTCTTTGCTCGCATGTCATCATGTGCTGTCCAGGGTCTGAAGGAGGGAGTGTACATCAGATACTGATTGGATGTCTCTCTCTTTGACCTTTGCCATTGAACACACGGACAAATGCCTCCATACAGTAATCTAAGAAACCTTCTTTGGTGATGACTGTGTACTCCTGACACATAAAGACAGTGCTCTACAGCTGATGCTGAATAAAGGTTCAGATGCTGCTATGCTCTTTGGCCTAACTATCAGCCTGAACAAAACTGAAGTACTTTACCAGCCTGTGCCAAATACCAACCCCATGGAACCAAAAATCACTGTTGATGACACTCAGCTGAAAATGTAAACAGCTTCTGTATATTATACAAATATGCAGATACTGTTCTAATCATTCTTTGACTACATAACTAGATTTTACTTACTTCTTAATGTCTCCAGAATTGCTTGATTTGTTTTTTGATGTTTTGTAACAATCAGAAGGGGATGGACCTGATAGCACACTGCTTTGTACAGACTCTTCAGAAGATGTGTTCTTCAGTGTCAAAAAAGATACAGATAAAAAAGCATGCCTATTATTATTATTTTCTGCCTTTTTAATATATAACTCAAGGCAGTGAACATACGTAATATTCTTGCCTCCTATTTTCCCCTCAACAATCCTGTGAGGTAGGTTGCGTTGAGAAACAGTGACTGGCCCAAAGTCACCCAGCTGGCTTTATACCATATTAAACTGCTTTATCAAAAAATTACTATAATAGTGATATACACAATTCATCCCACATTTTTAGAAATCGATACATTCATGCTCAACACCGAAAACTTGTTTGTATCACAGAGTGCTTCCCTGTGTACTGTACCAGAATACAATCATGTTGGCATCACCCACCAATTTATGTGACAGATTGTCAACAGGAAATGACATTGGCTTTTACTTCACTTAATCCAGGTTTAAATAAGAGCCACATTTAACAGCAGACATTATTTCTATGGCTTTGTCTGGGCATTGATATTTTTCTTTTATATTATGTATTCTTTTAAAATTGTAAGCTGCCCAGAGCCTTTTTGGAGTGGGGTGGCCTCAAAATCTAATAAATAATAAAACAAATTAGATTCTTACTCGGGAACAGCAATTGTATGGAAAAATAAGGTAAGCACAATAATTTATATCCAAAATAGGCAGTCTTAATTTACTACACCCAAAATAGATCTGCTAGGATTATGTGCTACAGTTATTTCAGAAGGTAGAATTTTTAAGGTATATTATATATATACACACATACACAAGGTGTACCAAAAGTCAGGCCCCATAGGCCAAGAGATGATTTAAAGGAGACCTTCACATTAAAATTTGCGAACATCAGAGAAAATGTTACTGTACTTAGGTCATATGTCAAACCAGTAAGGAAGTGTTTAGAAGGAAATGACAAGCAATTCAAACATTTAATGTAATTTATATAATAAATTGTCTAATGGGCCTGACTTTTGGTACACCCTGTTTATCAGTGTGCTGTAATGATTAAGTATTGGACTGGCACCAGGGAGACTCAGGTTCTAGTCCACCTTCAGTACAGACCCTCAGTGGGTGAATCTGGACCATTCACTCTTTCCAACCTCACAGAACTGCTGCTGTGGGAAAAAGTAGGAGGGAGCACTTTATATGCCAATGTGTGCTCCTACATGAAAGGCAGGATAGAAATCTAATCAATAAACAGATCTGCTACAGCTATTATTCCATTTTAAACAAAATACCTTGTTATACTAATAAGTACAGGAGGCAGAGATTATAAAAGTCAGAAGAAATACAGCATTGTAACACTGTACGGTACATTCGAAGTGTATTTTTTAACAATCTGGTAGCAGTGTCATTTTTTACATTTAACTTGATTACAGAAGTGAAAAAGCATCTCATTAAGCATATTAAGTACCCTCTTTCAGTGTTAATATTCAAAATGCCATTTAAGAAAATATGCTGAAGGTTTAACTCCTCTGAAATAGATATATAAAATTGAAAAGCCTACTTAACTGTCATTTTGGTTAAACTTACCGAACTGAAACTCAGTTCTCGTGCCAACACTTCATCTAATAGTAACTGTTCTGCTATCTTTTTTTTTCTTTCTTCTGTTAACCTCTGCTCTTCTTCATCTTCTGCTAGTAGTCTTTGAATATATTCTTCACTTGCTTTGCTCTCTTCTTGCTCAAGGGCACGACGTTCTG